AGGTACAAGTGAGGCAAATCACTTTATCGCCTATAAAGACGCTCAGTCTGTATCTAATAGTCACTTACCAAGAGCGGCCGCAAAAGCTCATTACAACAAAAACCACATATCTATAGGGTGACCCGCATCCATTGCAGCTGTAAAATAGAAACAATCATAAGTGTTAGCTTGATATTTGTCTCTCCTGTTGGGAATCTCAATATAGCCCTCAGGTGACCGCCATTATGACATGTCCATTAGAGGGAACATGGCACACTAGTAGATTTTCCTCATCTATGGCTGCCCAAGCCTGTGTTAGGATCAAGGGTCTGGTAGGAATTTTAGGGGGGACCCCATATTCTTTTTTCCCCTTTCTTGTAGTGGGGTTCCTCCTTAAAATTCCCACCAGACCTAAAGGGCCTGGTATGAATTTTGGGGTTGCTATTTTATCACACATGGACGTTATTAGGCGGCAGAGAGGCGTTAAAAACTCTTCTCCAACGCCCGGTTTTGCCGCACGTGTGAAAGAGTCCTTAGTACCGCAAGTTAGAAGTGCTAACCACTATGCCAATGTCTTACCTAGCTGCCGCGATCTCTCTCTCTGGTGCGGGCGCTCTCTCTCCCTCCGAGGCGGCCTCTCTCTAACGCGGTCTCTCTCTGAGATGGACTGTCTGTCTAACTCTGACAAGGACAGTCTCTCTCTCTGAGATATGGACGGTCTGCCTCTCTGTTTCAATGACCGTCGCTTTATCTGTGACACGGACCGTCTGTCTCTCTGACACACGGACCGTCTCTCCTCCTCTAACGGACACCGACTTTCTAATGCAGACCGTCTCTCTGACGCGGACCCCGTCGCTATAGCTGACGTGGGCCCTACCGCTCTCACTCTCTGACGCGGACCCTCTCTTTTAAAAAAAAAAAAAAAAAAAGGATTATAAACATTGTAGTTTGTATTTCACACTTTCTATTAATCTGGTGCAAACAAATAAGCTCAGTACGGTGAAAATGCTCATTTTCAATATAAAGGGTTTAAATAACTATATATATAATATATATTTCCATTATCTATATATAGATATATATATTATATAAAGGGTTATACGCTATACTGATAGGGACTGTCACAGGTGCAAACAAAATCTCTGGGTCACTCTGCACTGCCCAGGGGGTATTGCCACTATGAATACATGAATACTAACGAATTGGGGGAGGGCTTAGAGTTTCTACAGAGCATTGTGGGAAATGTAGTTTTCCACACGCTATGTTGTAGTGCCAACTGGGCACAGCAGCCTGTGATCGACACAGAGCACAGAGGCAGCTATTTCAAAAAAGGAGACTGAGAGGACAGCTAAAAAAAGTATGTTTTGTGTTCATATACAGCAACTGTATATTCCTTGGTGTACTTTGCTGGCATGTTTTTTAAAAAAAAACATAGATCCTCTAAAGGTGGAAATGGGCTTTATGCACCTGTGATCTAATGGAAAGCCATATATGTCTGGATTAATAATACCAACCTGAGAGTGGGTGAGGTTGAAGATCAACATAAAGGCTGCTCCAGCCCACTCTGCGAAAATTCTGATGATGTTGGAAATCTAAAAAACAAAAAACAAAATGTTTAGTAAATTTTATAACTCAACTTCTTGTTGTGCAATGACATGAACTTATAGTCGCTGGGGATTGTATGAAATGAGGGAATGCAGCTCATTATATGCAGAAGGGGTGTATGTAGTGGAGGTCATGTCTAATAAGCTGTCAGAGGGAAGTCAACACATTCCTGGGCAGAAGAGGATGTGGAGGTCTCCAGGCTGTAACCATGATATGCAATCAGAGGACTTCATACCAATGAGGCCTCCATATAATTTAGGCATTATTTCCTGCAAAGCCGGTTTTGGCCACACGAACCGGCAGCAGCTAATCTTGCAGTTTGTATGCGGCCATAACACAGAGTGTTGCTGCATCTAAATGCAGCAGCCTGCGCGCCTCATCTGCCCAAATGAATGCGGCCTTATAGGTGCAGTTGAGCTCCTTAAAAGAGAACTATGGCCAAACCTTTTTAGACCTTAGTTCTCTTTAGGGTCACAGGAGGATATTTACTATGTCCTCCAGTGACCCAAAATGAATCATATAGCCGGCCATTGCCCGCTATATGCTGACAGCGCAGAGTTGCTCTGTGGCCGGGAAAGACCCCGACAATACTGTCATATACGGGATGAACGGAGAGGGTAGAGGAGTTCCCTGTGGGGACTGTCAGTCGCTGCTCTCTGCAGGAAGATCGGGAACTGAGCCATCAGCGGTATGTGATCGCTCAGTTCTTGATCTATAGAGCTGATGTGTGACCGCTGCAGAATCACACGGCGGCTCTAATTATGGGGATGAATGTATTTCACTCTCCCCATAATTCACCTTTTCCTATGCAACATCAATTTGCTTCAAGCTGCTTTTGCATCCCCATTGATTTAAATGGAGCGTAAAGCAGTTCTGAAGTGACAACAACCCATGTATACCGGATCTTACATACCTGAAGACAATCGCTGGAAAACCTAGCACATATTGCATCAGACACGCCAACTGAAAGAGAGAATGAAGAAAAAGATTAGTTTTGGTTTATCGCATTGTTACACGAGGCCTACTCTATCTACACTACTCTTGGCGCATTTCTTTTTTCCTCATAGATAAAAAGTATTAAATGTTTTACAAACAGTGATAAATAGCAACATATAAGCAGTTTAGTGATGTCACTACCCTGCCAATGTAAACACAGTGCAGAAGCATTCTATTTACATTGGTTTCCACAGCCCGCTCCTATGGAGCAATCTGGAGAAGCAGCAAAAGCGCATTTAAAAACGATTAAAAGCTTACATATCACTAGAGAGATGATCAGCAACATGCAGAGGGAGAACCTTTTGTACATCATACGTCCGCTGCCAATACTCAACCTATACATGAGTGAAGTCTGCACAGTGTTGTGTATAGCAGCGAACATAAATGCCGTAAATGCCCCGAAGTAGTGGGGGGCAGGGTCCGTTGTCACCTAGAATATAAACATATAAACGTTATTCCATTGAGGCTCATGAAATCATCAAAAATAATGAAAAATCAAGTCATTTACATTTGACTTTGATCAAGCTGACATTATCACGGGGAAGCTTTCACAAGACAAAATGCCTATGAGAGAAAGCACTGATGGAAGCAACTGTTTTCTGTCTACTGGGCTACATAACTGTTCCAAAGCAGCGATGTCACTCACTTTGTGGATGAGTGAGCCTAGCTCCACATTGCTGGTAAGTGGAGCAGGAATCCAGTTATAGAAGCTTCCACCTGAGGCATATCGCACAGGTATTTTGCTGCGCGAGTCCCTTAATACATCAGACTTATTGTGCTTTACATTTAAATATGTTTACATACCGGAAACACGCCGACTAGGACTGTGCCAACACAGCTGATCCATCCAGCTATCAGTACGAAGGTTTGCACCCAGGGATAGTTGTGTTTTATTCCCCGGGAGCGCAGAGAGAGTTGTTTGTACATCTCGTACTTTATCATGACATCTAAAACAAAACACAGGAGATTTACATGAAGATTAATCATTTGTATAGCATTTCAGAGGTAAAAGTGAGGCAAATCTCTTTATCGCCTATAAAGACGCTCAGTCTGCATCTAATAGTCACTTACCAAGAGCGGCGGCACCAATCAACACAACCAGAAACACATATCGTTCTGGTGACTTACATCCGGTGTAGCTGGAAAATAGAAACAGTCATAAGTGTTAGCTTGATATTTGTCTCTCCTGTTGGGAATGTCAATATAGCCCTCAGGTGACCGCCATCATGACATTTCCATTAGAGGGAACATGGCACACTGGTAGATTTTCCTTTTTTTTCCGTTTTTTTTTAAATTGATTTGAGGGAGTATTTTAATAAATGTGAGTTGATCCTTCCAGTTTCTGTTCTCCTTTAATAGCGGGGCCCCGGCTCCCAATGTGTGCCATAGTTGTGACCAGTGCAGCAGTGCAGTCACTATCCCCTGCTGGGGATTACAAACTAGCTACGCTGACCATCTACCAAATGGCTTTGAACTGTCACTTTTGCTGGACAACTGTCAGCCGGTCACAGGGAGGGGAAAAATAATGGATCTGCCGGAAGGATCAGCAGTTACAACTGTTCTAGGTGGGACTTAGAACACCAAACACTGCTATGTAAAAGCAGACTGCATCATACATGTCATGTTTGGGTTTGCCCATAGATCTACTTTAAAGCCAGATGCAGCCAGACATCTAGTATTTTAGGGGGAGGAAAAATAAAAATGTCTATTTCTTTCAGTACTGGCTGTTATAAATAACTACATTCCCTTTTCCCTTACTAATGCTCCTAAAACGTCATGCTTCCTATAATATTCTATTTACAATAGGGAGGAGATATGTTGTGGATACATCTTCTTAAATACAATTCTCCTTCCCATTATAAACAGCAATAGCCTTTTACCTGATGTACATTATGTAAGACTCGTAATGGCCGTGGACAATGGTGAGGGTATAAGATGTTAAAATGCCTCCAACGGTCCACAAGGCCCACACAATTGGCAAATAAGCCAAGCGGTTAACCTCCATACTGGAAATTAACT